CTGAACAGATATTATTTTGGTTCAAATAATAAAAAATGAGGTTACTAATATAATATTTTAAATTTTAATGATGGTTCTAAGAAAATACATTTTTTTCTTTTTTTTTTAATTTAATTTTTTATTCGGCTATTGCTTTAATAATAATAATTAGCATTTTTATTTATCATTTATCATTGAGTCTGTCTACGCCAAAAAGTTTTTCTGCATTTTTGTACTTTTTTACCAACAATTAAAAGACGAATGTGTTTCCAACAATATGAATAATTAAAAACGTCGATATTGCAAATAATTTGCATTTCTGCATTTTAAATTTATTCCATTAAATTAGTATTATTTAGTAGTTTTATATTTATTTATTTCGATATATCGATTTGTATAGGTGTTTTTGCACAATGAGGGCATTATCTAGAAAGTTTTGTGATTTATGCAAAATATTATGCAAGTACGTAAATGATTTTATTTTTAAACTTTAGGTGAAAAAATATGTTGTTTTTATTTTGTTCTAATTCATAACTTTTTACTAAAATTAAGTTAATTTAATCATTACTTTGAAAAAAATATATTTAAAAAAAGGGTATATTGGCAAAAATATTATTTTTATCATGCTGCATCTATATTCAAATATTATTTTATATTTATTACTCAAATAAAATATCACACATTCAAACTAAATAAATAAAATTTAATAAAATAAAAGATATCTTTGCAAAATTAAATGCTCATAAACATATACTGATTTTTTTAATACCAAAATCTTACAAAATTTATATTAATATTCTAATTTAAAATTTTTATTCAAACATTTAGTTAAAAACTAGTATTAAAATCAAATATTAAATAATATATAAATTTATATTATATTTCTACAGTAATATTTATATTAGTTTAAATATAATATTCTTGTTTTTATTTATTCAAACACTTAGTCTTTGAAATATTAATATTAATTAAATTATATTAAAAAAGACTTGACATTAGTTTAATATATATATTACAATAATCCAGTAAAATGTAAATATTTTATATTAGATTTTTTTTATATAGAAAATAATTATATTTGATAATAATAGAAAAAAATCTGTTACGTGATGAAAGAAATATTATGGCCAAATTTAATTTTCAAATTTTGCAATTTTAATAGTGAATTTTTTTGAATATACTATGATGAATTTACTATTTTTTATATTTTTGAACATAGTTTGAATATTATATTCTTGTTTTTATTTATTCAAACATTTAGTCTTTGAATAATAAATATAGAAAATAATTATATTTGATAATAATAGAAAACAATCTGTTACGTGATAAGAAATATTTTTGCCAAATTTAATTTTCAAATTTTGCAATTGTAATAGTGAATTGACTGTGAATTGACTACCATTTTTTTGAAAATAATTCAATATTTATACAAGTTCTAATTTTATGCAATTTTTGAAATCTAATGATCACACTTTTGATTTTACTTTATTTATACTTTTAGACATAGTTTAAATATTTTATTTCCAGTTTAATTTTTTAAAATCAAAAATGTGATATTTAGACTATGTTCAATAATATAAGCATTAAAATATATATTATTCATAATTTTGAAATTTTAATATATACACATATAAGAGAGACTTATATTTAATTCACATCGTTTTAAATTTTTTTCAACAAAATAAACATGAATCGTACTCACCACCAGCATTAATTTTTTTGCACAAAAGTAATTATAAAGTAACTCGACAACTTTTTATTTATAACAACACACAAAACATACACAACAATATATACAATTGTACAACAAAATGTACTATGTCTCTGTTTAATGTTAATTAATCGTTTTAATTTTAACACACGTTGTAAACTAGATTATAAGTTAATAATTGATTGCTGGATTGACACAGATTGTTTATTGGGATTTTGGTAATTGTTTTGTATTTTTTAGTGCTGGAAATGTTTTATATTTTCGATGGAAATTCGAAAAATTTTAAAAGAATGTCGATTGTGTTGTTTGCGGCTTGGCTGCCGGCGTTGTACTGACATTTTGCACGACATGTGTTAGGAATATATATGTATATGTGTGTGTATAAATTAATATATGTGTGTATGTAAGTTTAGATGTACTTATAAATGTTTCTTTATCTAGTACAAACATACAATATTGATTTTGACCATTTTTAGATTGTTGCAATTTGTTTAATTACTAATTTTTTAAAACAACATTCTTAATGTAGACATACATTTGTACATTTGATAATTTTTTTGCTAAAAATACAAAGCAAATAAAAGAAATACAATTATTTTTATATTTAAATTTTTAACGTAAATTATAAATACTTACAATTATTTTTTATTGCAGTTCATATTGTAATTAAATACAAATTTATAAATATTTTCACAATATATAAGTATATGTTTAACAAATTTTTGGGTATAAAAGTTTCAAGTATTTAATAGAATTTCATTAAATACTTACAATTTTTAGATTGTTGCAATTTGTTTAATTACTAATTTTTCAAAACAACATATGAACTTTTAATATAAATTGCACTTGCAAGTTCATATGTTGCAATGTTCTTGCAATGTTGTCTAACATAAATTGCAATTTGTTATGGTTAACATTTTTACAAAAAATATTTAATTACATACTTACAATTATTTTTAGCAATTATTACATTATTAAAATTATTTGATTTTTTAATCGTTTTTTTCAACAAAATCCTTATTATTAATTGTAAGTACATACTTATAATTATTTTTATTGCAATTTGTATTGTAAGTATACGAGGTGTGTTCAAAAAGTACCCGGAATTACTAATAATTAAATTTCGCGGGTCTGGAGTGTCTGATTGTCAAATTTTTTTTTTTATTGTGTTGGTATACATGCCCCTAAAGTATGATAAAATTTTCAGCTATATTCACTGTTTACTTTGTCTGTGGTAGTCGCTAAGGTTCGACGTGTTTTTCTGAGCTCGGCGATTTTTACAATGGAAGAATTGAAAAGTCAAAGAATTTGTATTAAATTTTGCGTAAAAAATGAAATAAAGTGTTGCAAAGTGCAAAAATTCACCAGATATGGCTCCGTGTGACTTTTTCCTATTCCCAAAGTTGAAGAGACCCATGAAAGGACGGCGGTTTTCCTCGATTGAAGAAAATCGCCGAGAGTGCTCAAGGACATATCAAAAAGTGAATATCAAGGGTGCTTCGAAAATTGGAAAAAACGCTGGCATAAGTGTATTATATCTGGGGGGGACTACTTTGAAGGGGACCACATTAATGTAGACGAATAAATAAATATTTTTTTGAAAAAAACGAAAATTCCGGGTACTTTTTGAACAGACCTCGTACTTTTAAATACTTACAATTATTAGATTAATGGAATTTATTTATTAAATAATTTTCTCAACAAAATTGTTATTATAATAATACGTGTATTAATTTATTGTTATTTGTTTAGTTTTTAAGATAAAATAAATAATAAGAGTTTTCATCAATTTTTTTAACATTGATTTTATTGTAAATATTTTTTATCAATTTGTTTATATTATTAATTTCTTCGTGTATAGTTTTTTGCAAAAAAAAATATAAAGCAAATAATTTATATACTTACAATTATTTTCAGCAATTTTGATAATATTGGAAATTATTTATTTATTCACTTTCTTCTCAACAAAATTCTTATTATAATATATATGTGTATAAGTTATAAATAAAATAAACAAATTACAATAATCTAAAAATTGTTAAAAAAAAAATACAATAAAATCAATTTTGAAAACAATTTTATCAACAAAAACTCTTATAATATATTTTATCTTAAAAGCTAATGAGTTATACTGTATAATTATAATGTAATTATAGTATAATGTAATATATACTATAATGTAATTAGTATGTATATTATAATTATTTGTGAATTTTTTGTGTTCTGTTATCATTTTTTTGGAGCAATATTTGATTTTATCCTGGATGCATCGAATAATTTGTATTCTCAAAAAATAGTTTATTACACTTATTATAGCTATTAATTAGTTAATCCACAATCATTGATAGTTTTAGTGTAAATGTGTGCTAATTCAAGTCAATAATGTAGTTTACACTTATTATTATTAATGTATTTTTACTTGTTTTCAAATTCATTCATGTTCATTGATGTAAAGGAAAATATAGATTTTCTACAATCTTATGTATATGTATATGTGTATATATATACCTATAATTATCCGGTAGCAACTAGTTTTTCATCCAAGAGAGCCTCATTAGCATTCAAATTGGATTTTAATCAATTTTATATAATTATTTCGTTAATTTATTCCAATAAAAAGAATGTTATCATTTGCAGCGCGTGCTCTCTGTCTTTGCATATTTTTTGCAGATCTGATTGAATTCTAGAATTTATACTAAAAATAAAAAATATAAACAAACAACTATAAAACTTTGCATGTAGACAGATTTAGGTTAGATGGGAGATATAAAATTTGATAATTTTAATTGCAAAAAGCCTAGTTTTTTATATTTATAATTGCTATTTTGATACAGAAGTAATTTGGTTATAACATATATTCGTACATTTGCACAAATAATCGGATTATTTACGTATATTTGAAGGTATTTGCGCAAATATGATTTTCAAATTTATTTATCGTTATAAATATTATTTCTGTTTAGTTGGTACGACTGCAATCTAACAGTACGTTCAAACAAACATGGACGCCGTTTTCTTAAAGTGATTAATTGTTGTGAAAATCTTATTTTTAAAGTGAATATTAAGCTATTAAAAGTTAATTTGTGTTCATGTAAATTAAATTTTAATAAGGAATCTTAGGAACACATTGCAACAGGTTATATATTGCTATTTATATTTACATTTTTTGACAAAATGCAGATTTCAACATGTCCATTGTTTTTACATGTAAGTAAAATTCGTCCAATATTAATTAATAATATAAATAATCGTCCAATATTAAGTAATAAGAAAGAACAGGCAATAATAATGCAAAATGATATCTACGAATTTAAAAAACGGCTATATTTGTGTTTCCCTATTATATATTTATATATTACATACATTATATTATTTTTTTTAAATTTTGTCTTATTGCTGAAGTTGATGCGGCTGCATTCTGACAGTTTAAAAAAACATGGATGCCGTTTTGTAAAGTTATTAAAATTGTTATAAAAATCATATTTTTAAAGTGAATTTTAAGATAATAAAAGTTAATTAGTGCATGTGTAAATCAGTTTTAACTGGGAATTTTTGGAACACTTTGTAGCAGGTTATATATTGTTAATTATAGTTACACTTTTTGACAAAATGCAGACTTCAACATGTGTATTGCTTTTACATGTGAGTATTTATATTATAATTAAATAATATTTCTAGTATCAAGTATTAGACAACAATTAGTAATAATAATGCAAAATGCCCTTTACCACGTATTCGTCTTTAAAATCAATTCAATTTTGCATACCATATGAAAATTAGACAAGAGCTTGTTGATATCAAACGAGAACATTGATTAAAAATTAGGACTTGTTGAAAATTTATTCGTTTGAATTTACTGTCAAAAACGATATTATTTCTGGTTTCTGTGATATATATTTACATACTTAAATATATCCGTTATATTATTTTAGTTTGATTTTATGTTTAGTCTTTTTTTTAATTTGGCAGCCCTTTTGCGGTTAGTACAAGTGCATTCTGACAGTTTAAACAAATATGGATGCCGTTTTATAAAGTGATTAAAATTGTTATGAAAATCGTATTTTTGAAGTGAATATTAAGCTATTAAAAGTTAATTTGGGTTTGTTTAAATCAAATTTGAAGAAGGAATATTTGGAACACACTGAAGCAGGTTATATATTGTTATTTATATTCACATTTCTTGACATAATGCAGACTTCAACATGTTTATGCAGGTATTTATATTACAATCAAATATATGTCTAATATAAAGTAATAATGAAATATGATGTGATTATAATGTATATAAATGAATAATAATATACTTAAATGTATATTATTTATTTATCATTATTTTAATTATATTATTTTTGTTTTGATTTTATTTTTTAATTTTGCCGCCCTGTTGATGTTGGTACCATTACATTCTGACGTTTAGTTCGTTTAACCAAACACGAATGACATTTTGCTAAAGTGATTAAATGTTGTGAACAAGTGCTTTATTAAAAGTTAATCCCTGTATAATTGTGTTTATCTGTGCGACAAGGAATATTTGGAACGCATATTACAGCAGGTTAGATATTTTATTATTATTTATATTTACATTTGTTGACACAAAATGTCCGCTGTTGTTTGTTTATTTTTCACATGTATTTATAATGCAATTAGATGTATGCAAATCCTTTATCAAGGTGCTATTTAAATAAAACTATACACTTAAATTAAACTATACAGCTATATAAATTTTCCTATGTAAGTTTTACAACCTAAAATATCTTATGCAAAAAACCGTTAAGGTTAGGTTCCTAAAACTTCATTTTTTTCTTATATTGCAATATTTGTGTGAATTTTCAATAATCGTCAAATATACGAAATTAGCATTTAGAAGATTTATTTCGCAAATTTGCTAAATCCGGATTAAGAAATTTGTCAGATTAGAAACTGTTTATCCAGAGATTATCAAATATTTGGTCTGATGAGTTCATTATTTTGCTGATTTTTTAACAACTTTCGTTTTTAATAGACTTATGTTATAAAGTTTATAAAAAAAATAACTTAGTCGAGGATTATTGATAGCTACTAATATATGTATTTTTTCTTGAAATAATATTAATTAAAATTAGTTTAGACGTACTGCCAATAACATGCTACTTCTTGTCATACATACATACATTTTCTATCTGAAATATACTATGTTTTCACAATCCACTCC